GAAAACGCAAAGAACACATAATTGGACCAAATAAACTACGAAAATCCTATAAGTGGGGAAAAATAAAGAGAAAATAAACCCAAAATAAAGACACAAAAATGGGACAAACATTAATCATGTGTAGAACGACTCAGGACGGGTTTTTGTTTTGTATGGATTCATTTTGTTAGGACCGTATTTTCGAATTCGAGTTTAATTTGTGGATAACCAGATGAAAAAGAGAGTTTAATTTCACATGATTATTAATTTTGGACCGTTTGATTTTTCTTCTCGAACTACTTGTTGTTTTGTTTGCTTGAGGACAAACAAAGAGTTAAGTGTGGGGGAGTTTTTTATTGTGGTTTTGTGCTTATTTCCGTGTATTTTATGTGCCTTAGTTGAGTGTTTTTAGATTCATTTTAGTGTCGACCGTCCATTTTATTGTGTACGTGTGTTTTTGCGTTCGTTATGTTTTTTGGTGTTGTGTCGTATTTTTTTATTGTTTTAGTGTGTTTAGGTCCACATTATTTGAGTTTGGGAAGACGAGCCATTCCCGAGCCGTCTGAACCATGTCAGAGCCATTTTATCGAGCTATTCGAGCGCCTGAGAGAGCCATTAGAGGACGCGAGCACTCACAGCGAAATCCCTTTTGCGCCCAGTGAACTGAGGTGACCTTGGCACTCTCTGCGAACTCACTTTCGCGTGCCGGGAACGCTACCCTGCTAGCTCACTACTCCTTAGAACTCTCAGCGAACCTCTTTTCGCGATCCGGGAACAGCGCGCCTGCAGCACACCTTCCCTGGCACTCGCTGCGAACTCATGTTGGCGACCCACGAGCGCGCCGAGCTGCACTACTGCACGCCAAAAATCGATGCGAACAAGGTTTTGAGAACGACAAACTGCAAAATTTTAGTAAATGTGTGAGTTTTTATTGTGTGTTTGTGGTGTAGCTATAAATAGACATTGTGTTTTGTATTTTTTAGAACAACCCCTCATTTTTCAACTTTTTAGTTGGAAAATCCTCTTTATTTTCTGTATTTTATTTTTATGCTTTGGTTTGGAGGTTCATAACTCATTTTTTGGGCAAAATTCCGGCAACCTTATTTCTAATCAAGACTCGAGTTTTACGCACTATTTTCGCCCGGGCATGCGATAGGAGAGTAAGTACCTTGCTTAGGGCTTACTACTTCGAGTTTGTTTTTCGAATATTGTGTTGATGCTTGATTCTTTGACTTTGCTTTATTTTCATTGCTTGGTCAAGTGTGTTAGGATTCAATACGTGTTTATCTTGTGTAAAGGTCTCGATTTGCTCAAAGTGTGATGATTTAGTGTAGAAAACTTGTGTTCTCCCTTCCTTTGCATCTTTCATCATTCGCTCATAGCTTCTTAGTTTAAATTCGTGCAAATCAATCCCCATCAAAGGAGTATAATGTGTATGACCCTATTTTCGGTTATGTGATTTTGACAACTAGGTAGTGAACGAAGCTCCGAACAACCTTCATTTGAGAACAACCCGAGTCGAGTAGCTCAATTACCATCTACCCCTAAATTACTAACAAACAGCTACTCATCCATCGCCAAGGGGACCGTCCTGTCACTGCACGTTGCTGTCGTCGGGAAGCATCGCGCACGGGGTCGCACTGTCGGGTGCTGCGGATCACGCAATCACATGTTGTGTGTCGCTCAATCGTGCGTTGCGTCGCACAATCACGGCTGTTGCATCGCGCAAGTGGATAGTTGCAGGTTGTCGTGCATTGCCGGTGTGCGCATCGTTTGTCGGTGATGGTGGTCGCGGGTGTAGGTGCACACGTCCATTTCGATGGTCTCTGGACAAACTATGTACGGGGTTGTGTACAGGGGCGGAGCCACACATACTTTGGGGTGGGCTCCAGCCCGGGTAAATATTCTTGTTTGTTTTGTTTATATATGTATGCATGTGTGTGTGTAGTGTAAATCTAACCAAGCCCAGATATGAACATATCTGAATTCAGAGTTAGATAATTTTATTAGTAGTTATTCTCTCTTAATTAAATTTTAAATTTGAGTAAGTATATTCAATATTTCTTTAAGCCTATTTCACTTCGCAATAACTAAATATTTTGTTATCACATGGCCAGGCGCAATGAGCGAGTTTTTACGAACATACATATTAAGACCGAGGCCAGGCGCATGGAAGTCCTGCACAGAACAGAGAGTTACAACCGTGCGGCTGCGGACCATGCACGGGTGGGCACGACTACCCATGTTACGAGGATGGTTCGATGGATTCTGCTCGATGAGGGTAGTGTTAAGATAAATACTGATGGAGCGTTTAATACGGATACGAGGTTGAGCTGTGCGGGGGGATTAATCCGTGACGAGGCCGGGCGTTGGATTGTGGGATTTCTCTTTAATATTGGTCTTTGCACGATCACAGGGGCTGAGTTGTGGGGATTATTTCAAGGACTTTGGCTGGCGTGGGCGAGGGGCTATCGGAAGGTTGTGGCTGAGGAAGATAGTCTTTGTGTAAAGACCATGGTTTGCGAGCCTGAGAGTGAATTGGGACCCCATACTTCGATGATCCAAGCTATCTGGGACTTGCTTTCCCGGGAGTGGTGTGTACGCATCCATCACATCTATAGAGAAGCCAATTGTGCGGCAGACCACTTGGCGAGCATGGCGGAATTTCACCCTTTGGGCCTCCATCTTTTGGACTCCTCGCCTGAGGGGATCGGTGCGTGGCTGAATCATGATATTGTCGGGGTATAGTACCCTCGACGCGTACTAGCTTAGGCCTTTTGGCCACTTTCTTTGTACCGAAAAAAAAATATTTTGTTATCACATGAATTAACGGAACTAATTCAAAACACTAAAAGTAATCTGAAAAAAAAAATAATAAATTGATGAAAGCATAAATAAAAATGCAATAAAAAAAGTAAAAGCATAAAAAAATATGAAAAAAGATGCAAGAAGGGAAACTAAAAAAAAAAAATTATTAAAAATTTGGAGCTAAATCCATTAGGTCGTTTAATAGAAGACTTTGATTAAATAATTTATTCCTTAACTATTTCACCGAGTACTAATTATAATGAATATTACTCCATTTAAATTCTTTTAATAATATTTTTATTTTGTTCACAATTTTTATTATTAAAACAAAATTTACTTATTTTTCTATCTCCAATAAAATTTAGTTTTCTAAATTCTATAAGTATTTTATAGAAACATGTAAATCAATCAAGATCATTAAAAAAATATTAAATTATATTGCCTCGAACAAAGTAAAATATAGAATAAAACAAAAGGAGCAAAAAATAAAAATTGTAAGCGTTAGTTAAATTTTTTCTACTTTTTTTAAATCAAGGTGATCATCCCAGGGTGATTAATTTTCCTGGCTACGCCCCTGGTTGTGTATATATTTGTCGGGATAGAAAAATATATAACCTTTGATTATCTATCGTATGACTGTTTTCGATTTGTCGCGGTGGACGACTATTCGAATTTCCCGAACCTCACAAAATCTCACGTTTTCTCTCTTCTTTTGCTCTTGGTTTTTCGTCCGATTCTCGCTCCGACTTGGAGACTCACGTGAATTATATAGAGATTCACCAAATTCAAACAGAATATGTGTAATCTATATATATATATAATAAGATTTACCATTTTTCAAAAATAGCAGATCAAACTCTGGTCAAACTCAGTATGCATTTATTACATGCTATTAATAGCAACTTCTTTTTTTTTGTAATGAAAAAACGGATGAAAAATAGATGTTGGGCTAAAAAAGTGGAGAGGTTGTTTATTTTTTTTTTCATTTTTTTTTGTAATGAAAAAACGGATGAGAGATAGATGTTGGGCTAAAAAAAGTGGAGATGTTGTTTATTTAGTTGCACAAGATAGACTTACTTTTTCATTTTCACAAAATCAAAAAAAAATTTTGTAACATAAACCACTCATTCACCTTTTTTTTTTGGATAAAAATATTATGGTTGATTTAATAATAAAAATTTACTTTTTCATTTTCATAAAATCAAAAAACCTTTTTGTAACTTAAAATCGTGTACACTCATCTAATCTTTTTTTTTTCTTTTTTTTTTTTTGATAAAAAGAAATTATGGTTAATTTACTAATAACAAATTATTTTTTTATTTAAAAAAAAAATCAGTAACTTTTTTAATATCAAATCTGCTAATAAAATTGTTTTAAATGGCGACTATTATTTAAATTACGGCTTATTTAATAATCAAAATGTAAAATAATTAATATTTTATAATTTTTTTTCTACCATTAAATATGGAAACTATGTTTTGATTGTGCTTATTCAATTGATTTGTTTGGGAAATATTTTCACAAAAATTAATATACACCTACGAAAATTATGAAATCGTCAATTTTAATAATCAAAATATATTAACATTTTTTTCTACCTAAATCTGGCAGCATTGAATATTGCCCTTTAAATGTGGAGTTTGTTACCTTTTAGATAATAATTTTATCTTAATCTCAGTTAGATATAAGATAAATACCATTTATTTGTAAAATTAATAAATCTGCATATAACGTGTAATTGTATGCATACATTTTTTTTATGGTAACTAAAAAATAATAATGTTTTTGAATTTTTTTTTACTCAAATTACTTAAAAATAATAATAATAATAATAATAATAATAATAATAATAATAATAATAATAATTTTGAAATCTTATGTACTCAAATTTTCATGTACCGTCTTAATCATGTCAATATTTATTTTATATATACTATGTAAATTTTCTCTCAAAAACTTTATAATGTCTTTATTTAAACTTATAATATTATAGATAGTTTTATATAATATTTTATCATGTCATATTTTATC